TTTGTGCCTTGTGAATTTCCTGCAAATTGCATGTAGTACATATAATTGGTTTAGATGTTGGTATTTTTGTTTATTTCTATTTTTACCGAATGGTGATTGAATCTACGTTCATTAGATGTTACACCTGGTGAAGTGTACACCATATAATTCTTGTATTTTATCAAAATTTTAAATTATTCTCCGTGTACTTAATATGAAAAAAAAAAACGAAGAAAAACTCTTATGACGCCATTTTTTAACATGCAACAACCTAAACGATGAGGTTTAAGTCGTAATTTGCTTAAAAAATTGAAATATAGGGTGTTTGCCAATATTTATAGTACGATGATTACCATGAAATTTACTCGATCAAAAGTCGGAAAAAAATAATTTGCTTATTTAAAAAATGTTTTCGATTGATTATACATAATGATTCGACAACATACCCTTAAAAGAGGCTGGAGGATTGGTATTTCCCTCTGAATGACTAATTCTTGCCCATTTGTAACCATCTCAAGTGACGGAAATAGAGGCGTTGCCGGCGGTGTTTTTAGCCTTCGAAAATGTGAAAAATGAAAATAAATATTTAACCAAACATTAATTCAAATATTGCTTAATTATATAATGGACGTATGCAATTAGCTATCGGATCATCCGATAAATTTCAACGCGTATAGCATAGATTTACCAATTATAGTCATTCTTTCCGCTATCAAATCCCGCACCTTTTCTTCCTCCCGATTCCATTCTATAGAGCCCATAGTTCCCTACACTTCAACATTTCTAAGGAATGTCAACATTTCTTGAAGACACGCATTGAGTGATTGCTTCTTTTTTAGCCACAAAAACCTCAGCGCCAAATACACATGACTTGTCACCGATTACATATCCGTTTGATGGATCTGTCAGACTTTCCTTTGACATAAATTTTGAAACTCCCCATTTGGACTTCATTCCTATGAAACGTCTTTTTCTTCATGTCACATATATATACAACAGTACATCCTCGATTAGATAATAGTTTCTCTTGGTCCCGACTCGGTGAAAACATGTTAAATTATTAACTCGATAATTTAATAATTCGCTAAATTAATAGAACTTCTCTAGTCCCGACTACTTGTTTTAATTTGCAACTTAAATAAACTAATTGTAATCTTTTCTACTATGTTTAATTTGTTTGGTAAGAATTATAATGAGGTTCTTTGTCACATTTTATACTAATAATGTACATTGTACCATATGACATTTTGTTTATTGCCTAAAAGTTATCGTATTGTTGCAATTATGACAAAGTCAATGGTATTTTTTGACAAGTTCAAATCACAAGTTGAAAAACTTGATGTTGACAAGTTTCAAAGTACGCATTTGGTCCCTCATGATGTTTCATTTTTAGTCATTTCCATCAATTTTCTGTTAAAACTAATGGAATCAAGCGTGGGCCCATCGATGACAGACTAACGGTAAATTGACGGAAATGACAAAAAACGTTAAATTATTAAAACCAAATGTGTTTGGGTAACTACAACCACCCATCAACTATGTATTGTATTACGAAAAAACCCCTCATTCAGTAGATAAATTTGACAATGTAAAAAGTGGACGTGTAAGACAATACGTAAAGGTGGACGTGTAAGACAATACATAATTGAGGGGTGTTTGTAATTACCCAAAAAAGATGGGTTTTTTTCGTAATTTGATCTTATCTTGGGGGTGGCCGTAATTTGCCAATAAGATATTACTTAAAACTAGGGGTGGTTTCGGTACGGTTGCCGAATATTTTGATCAATACCGTGTGGTATTGAAAAATTCGATACCGCTACCGTACCAACAAGTGCGGTATACCGTTATTCGGCATACCGTTACTTTCGGTACGGTATATCGGTACATGGTACTCTACCGTTAATTTCAATTTGTTATACTTTGAAGACGATCTTTATAAAAACACAACACTTTAAACAAGAAATTGGCTATTTATATGATCTTATTCAATTTTTCAAAGCTCCTTGAATATTAATCAAACTTTAACTTCAATGATTTAGCCACACCTTGCAAAATAAGATTACTAGAGTCATGATTTATTTTTTCAATCTCAATTTGCAGCCCTACTATTTCAGTGAAAACCAAATGGGATGTACGTTTTTTTGTTACACTAAGCTTCAATGTTGTCTCACAAATTTTTAAGAAATGTATTTTAACTTTTTAAGTTTTGACCTATTTATTTTATGTAGTAATTTTAATTTTAATTAATTATTAACCAATATAAAATAAATATATATTAATTAAATTATAAAATTCAAATTTGTGGTACGGTACGGTAGTACCATGGTATTGAAAATACAATACCGCTACCGTACCGTATAATAGTGGTACGGTACCAATACCGTACCAAATGTAATGGTTACCGAAGTTTCGGTAATTTTTCGGTATTGTTTGGTAGGTATACCGTGGTATTCGGTAGGCGGTAATTATTTTCCAGCCCTACTTAAAACTATCACTGCTTTAGCATTTTTTTTTAAAGCAAAATCTTTAAAATACAAAAAAATGATTAGAATTTAATAATTAGAGAGAAAATACGAAGAAACGAAAAAAAAAGAAAAAAAAGGAGACTTAAAGCTAGAAAAGTTGACAATAAGAAAATTAGCTTTTTGTATTTTAAGACAACAATACTTAGAACACAATTCTCTATATAGATACTAATTGTTTTTCTTCGTTTTTTATTTTATTTTATTTTATTTTACCTTTGACTGCTTCTGTTGATAGAGCCCTCGCACCAAACAAGAGTGTGAATACATAATCAGACACAGAAATTATGCAACGTCACTTACCAAACAATAACAATTGAAATCACTATAGACTTGTTTAAATAATACTAGAAAAAAGTTAAATTCCATAGTCATACATACACGAGGATTACGCGTGGCCAAAAATGTCGAAAGCAGAGTTCCGATAGTCTCTAGAAATCCTAGAAGCTTCTGAACCCCATGTTAAGTGTATATTTTTACACTTTATTGTACCTTTTTATTTGAGCTTTTGGTGTGTTTTAACGATAATTGATGCTTAAAAAGTTGATTTATTGTATTTTAGGTACAAATTGAAGAATTGGAAACGTATGGGCCAAAAGTGAAAAAGTCAAAAATCTGAAGATTTAAAGCCCGGACGGCCGTCCGAGTTTTAGTTGACAATGTGGGACGGCCGTCTGAGACCACGAGGAGGCGCAGTTAAAGGGATATTAATTGCACAAGGAAACTGCATTTTCCCAAGTTTTCCACCCTATATAAGACAAAGCTAAGCACACAATTGAGAATCAATCTTTTACGCAATTTCAAGAGCAACAAAGCAATAACGAAGACGAAGAATTCGAAGACTCCAAGCATAGACTTATCGTTTATGATTAATTTTATTTGCGTCTTTACTTTAATCATGAGTAGCTAATTTTCTTATTTCTAGGATTTTATTTTGAACCCTATGTGGGATTTATGAACCATTTTTCTATGATTTTATGCAAATTTTAATTCCGGATTATTTCTTCTACTTGTTTTATTAAGTGCATGAACTTGATCACCTTATGTACTTTTATGTTATTGTTAATCGCATGAATCAGAAGATCGGGTTAATAATTAGAACTGTGGTAGAAGAGCCTTTGTGGTATTAACATAGGAATACAATTAATTTCTTAGGTAGCCATTATTGAGATTTGTGTTTAATGATGTGTTCTAGAATTAATTGCGTAGGAATACAGTAATTGAATCTAGAGTAGTAGAATCGTAATACACGCGGAAGTGGGTTATGATTAATTTAGCATCTCAGGTTAATAATCCGGGTTAATTGCTTGCATAATTGAAGGAATTGGAGGATTAATAATCACATAGGGGGACGAATAAAATCCTAGGCTTGTTTACTTTGTGATTCGGTAAAAATTAACTATTTCGGCCCATTAAAAGAGGGCCCAGTAATGGCCCAATTATTGGAAATCTCGCGAGGGTCAACTCCAGGGCGAGAGAAAGGGAAGATTGCGCTCGCCTAAAAGAGAGGGCGGGAATAAGGAATATTATCTGAAAAGGAGAGCAACACCGCCGACTTACATTTAATGCGTGTCTCCTCAAATGTCAGGAATAGCAGAGAATATACAGACTAGATGATTCGGTAAATCAATGTTCTGGGCCTATCTAGGAAACCTAATCGAGAGTCGATCTTGGGGGCGAGAGGTGAGTTGCTCTCTCAGTAGCGAGAGGGCAAAGGTGAGTGCTCTCTCAGTAGCGAGAGGGCAAAGGTGAGAGTTACAAGATATGGTCTCTGATATATCTGAGACAATCGACTTGCATTTAATCCCTCTCTCCTCAATTGTCAAAGATGTCAGAGAATATGCAGATTAGGGAATAAGCAGCTCACAACACTGTTCATAACACTGTTCACCGAGAAGACATGTAAGTTTAATTTAATAGTCATTGGAAGTCTGGAACATTTTTTGACGTGACAACTAAAATAGAAGTGGAATCCGTATTTGGAGTCCGTTCTTAGAAGCTCTTCCTATAAATAGTAAGAGATTAATTCAATTGAAGATCATCCTTTTTCTAAACCAAAAAACATACAATTTATTCTTCAATATCTCTTAAATCAGAAATATACTGACTTGATCGTCGGAGTGCTAACCCCGGCCTCAGCCCGGTTTTCCTTGTCTGTGTTCGTATTTGCAGAATCTAGAAGATCCACCAACATATTCGGATCTAGAAGATCCAATCAACTTATTTGGTTGAATCAAATGGCGCCGTCTGTGGGAACTTTTGAATAAAAATAGCCAAAACCTTTCCAAAATCATCTTTTCCTCTCCCATTCCAAAAAAAAAACAAAGAGAAAAATGGATACTCCCATCGAGAGGGCTAATCGATCCAGCAGAAGTCGAAGTCAGTCCAGCGCTTGGTCCTGATATACAAAGAGCTTACCTAGGAAGTACTTTTGTTCAGCAAGTAGAGGTCCTACATACTCCGGACCCGACAGCTGCTGGCCCCACGGTAACTCTAACCATGGAATCACTTCAAGCCCTTCTTGCGGCCGCGGTGCAAGGCGGGTCGCCGAGTGAAAGAAGAGAGCAAGAGGGGTTGCCACCTACGAGAAGACGCTTGAGGTACACGGATAGGACAGAAGAGGAGCCTCCTATGGAGCGAGAGTTGCTGAATCCGACCCCCGTTGCGATGGAGCAAAGAGAGCAGGGCCAAACCAAGAGGAGTCCGTTCACAGCACAAATACGAAATGACGAACTCCCGGGATCGTTTCGACCAGTCACGTATGAATATCTGGGGACCTCGGACCCAAATGAACACCTATGTAGGTTTAACAACACTTCAGACCTACATCGTTTTTCGGAGGGGGTAAAGTGCAGAGTGTTCACTACCACTCTGGCGGGACCGGCTCAAGCGTGGTTTAGCCAGCTGCGGCCCTCTTCAATAGGCAGTTTTGATCAACTCGCCTCTGTTTTCCTCGATCATTTTGCGAGCTCCAAAAAGCAGAAAATGAGTACTTTGACCCTCTTCGCGGTCAAACAACGGGAGGGAGAACATCTACGAAGCTTCATCAAGCGTTTCATAACAGCGACGTTGGAAGTACCAATAACTTCGGAGGAGGTCCTGATCAACGCCCTAGCCCAGGGATTGCGACTTGGAGATTTCTTTACCTCCATATCCAAAAAGCCCCCTCTGTCGTTTAACGATTTGCTAAGAAAGACGGAGCGGTATATGAACGCGGAGGAGGCCGAGCAGGGCAAGGCTGTTGATAAAGGGATGGATAAAAGGAAAGAAAGGAGGGAGGAGAAGATGCAAAGACCTGTGCCAGCCAAAAATGAGGGATTAGTGGAGAGAAGAGTGGGCCCTCGGTTCGAAAATTACGTCTCGTTGGTCGCGTCTCCTGCCGAAATACTGATGGCCATCGAGAACCACCCCAAATTGAAGTGGCCTCGTACTTACTCCGATGTTCCCAAGAAAAATCCCGTCGCGGGAAGTTTTTGTCGATTTCATAATGATTACGGGCACACCACGAACGAGTGCCAGCATCTTAGGGACGAGATAGAAAGGTTGATTCGAGCAAAGAACTTTCCTGAGTTTGTCAAACCTGGACAGCCCTCGGCGAGCACGTTGGCCCCGCACGTTAGACCCGGTGTTAACCGATCTGAAAATACGCGAGAGAAGGCCGGTGAGAGAAAGGAGCAGCTCTCGACAGGAGGATTCATCCACGTGATACACGGAGGACCTTCGGGAGGTGATTCAAATAGGGCCCGGAGGGCCCATCTAAGGCAATTAGGGAAACGGAAGAGCTGTTTGGGGAAGTGGAAGCGGCCGATCGGGCAAGCCGAGCGAACTTGCAAGTACTTTACGAGATGGAATCACAGCTCGCCGAGGTGCAGAGGGTGTCGCAAGTTCCTCCCATCATGTTTGGACGGGTGGATGAGGAGGGGATACAACAACCTCATACAGATGCCCTGGTAATCACAGCTATGGTGGCCAACTTTGATATCGCACGAATATTAGTAGACACGGGAAGTTCTGCAGATGTCATCTTTTATAGCTGTTTCAAAAAGATGAATATGAATTTTGAGCTAAAATATGTGGAGACCAGCTTGATGGGATTCTCGGGCGAGACAGTTCAGGCCCTAGGAGAAGTCTGCCTTCCGATCTCGTTGGGTATGGAGCCCGTGCGAGCCACCAGGTCAATAAATTTTCTGGTGTTGGATGTTCCTTCCACTTACAACATAATACTTGGTCGACCGTCCATGAATCTATTTCGAGCTGTGGTATCTACTTACCACATGAAATTAAAGTTCCCCATGGGAGACCGGATCGAAGAGGTGCGAGGAGACCAAGAGACTGCGAGAAGATGTTATTACGATGCATTAAGGCGAACTGGGAGGATAGATGCCATTCACAGTGGGCGAACTGACATGATGGAAAAGGACGAGCCTCGTCCTAAAATCGATCCCGATAAGGAGGACAGCCACGTACGACCCATGGAGGAGTTGATGACTGTGCAGCTATGTGCTAAGGATGCCACTCGCACAACCAGAATCGGGAGAGACATGGATACCGCGATGGCAGAACAATTAACAAAATTTTTGCGCAATAACCAAGATGTGTTCGCATTCTCAGCAAAGGATTTGGTGGGAATCGACAGTCGATTGGTTGTTCACAAATTGAATGTCAAAACAGGGATCAAGCCAGTCAAACAGAAGAGAAGACATTTTGGAGCAGAAAAAGATAGGATAATTCAGGAGGAAGTACAAAAGTTGCTAATGGCAGGGCAAATTCGGGAAATACGATTTCCCACCTGGCTGTCCAATGCCGTCCTAGTAAAGAAGGGGGCTGGCAAATGGAGAATGTGTATTGACTTCAGGGATCTCAACAAGGCGTGCCCTAAAGATTATTACCCTCTCCCTCGGATTGACCAACTTGTAGACTCAAGGGCAGGGTGCGAAATGCTGAGTATGATGGACGCATCCCAAGGGTACCACCAGATACCCCTGGATCGAGAGGATCACGCCAAAGTAAGCTTTATCACATCAACAGGCACTTACTGTTATACGATGATGCCCTTCGGCCTGAAAAATGCGGGAGCGACCTACCAACGGCTAATGGATCGGATGTTCCGAACACAGTTGGGAAGAAACATGGAAATATATGTGGACGACATGCTGGTGAAAACCAAAGAAGCAAGAACGCATTTGGAGGACTTTGAAGAAACTTTCCATACCTTGCGACAGTATGGAATGAAGCTCAATCCAGATAAATGTGCTTTCGGCGTCCGAACAGGCAAGTTCCTCGGTTATATGGTCACCGAAAGGGGAGTAGAGGTGAACCCAGAGAAGGTACAAGCGATCATCAACATGAAGGCGCCAAGGAGCATTAAAGAGGTGCAGACGCTGGCGGGAAGGATCACGGCTTTAAGCAGATTTATATCTAGGTCCGGCGAGGCGAGCTACCCTTTCTTCAAAATATTAAGAATGGCGGCGGTTATATACAAGTCCATTTTTTTATTAGTTCAAGACCTCCAACATAAAAATACTAATTTACCCTTAATGAAATTTAAAATCAAATAAAAAACACAAAGCATTAAAAAAAAAAAAAAAAATCATTTCCTTTGTGCAAGACCAAATAAAATACATAAATCCAGAAACTCCTCTTCCTTATTTCACGACTTAAAACTCTCCTCCTTCTTCCCCTTCTTCTTCACAAACCCACCAAGAAATCCTACACATCAAAATTATCAAATACATACCAAACATTCACGATGGAACCAGAAAACAATGATATGGTGGTTTACGAGGGTGGAGAACACAATGAAATATGTTTTAACCGTTTATTTTTGCTTTTGGGTCGTTTTTTTTTTGTTGGGAAAAAAATTCGACGATACCAAAAATAGGTCTGGAAATACCGATTTTTGTTTCTAAAGTCGGTAACCACATTCCGATTATTTTAATAAAAATCGGTACTTAAAAACCGATTTTTGTAGTAAAAATCGGCACTTAAAAACCGATTTTTGTAGTAAAAATCGGCATGACAACACCGATTTGCTTTTGTATTATCGGTATTGTCATGCCGACTTGTACTACAAAATTCGGTTTTTAAATACCGATTTTATTATCTGTGTTTTTTTAAGACCGTTTTCTCATACTTTCGTGCATCAACCTAGGGGATTGATGGATGATTATTCAAATGAATTATCTAACGAATAAATATTTGAGATACGGAAAGCTCTACTCGATTGGGTTAAAGGAGTGGTAGACGCCACCGAATGGTGATAAACATTTTCGTTTCAAATATTTAAAAAATATCAATTAACCAAATATATAATGTATTATTTAAAAAAAAATTCAACAAATATCGGTATTCGAAAACCGATTTTGTACTCAATAATCGACATTAGAACGCCGATTTTGACTTGTAAAGTCGACGTTGTGTCGCCGATTTGGTTAACAAAAATCGGTATTATGACGCCGATTTTCGTGTACAAAATCGGTCTGGATAAACCGATTTGGGAAACCAACGAAAAAAAATAAAAAAACCAATTTCAATCTCAATTTTTTTTTCCAAAATCGGCCAAATCATTGCAACCCAACAAGAAATAAGCATAGATTAATGTTCATTCATACATATTTAGCATGGATTAATATTTAGCAGTCGTGATATTTAATTTCTTTTTTGTTTTCTTTCTTTTTTTTATTTTTTTTATTTTTGGTCTTGAACAAATTAAAAATAAGATTTATTTGTATTTGAGTATTATTTGTGGATAGGGGTATATTTGTCATCTTTGGTCTTGATGTAATAAAATTAGATTAATTTACGGGCTTGAACTAATAAACTCCTTTATGTGATTTTGAACTAATAAAAAAATGGACTTGCATATAACGGCCGCCATTAAGAAAAGGTGCTGAGTTCAGGTGGACAGAAGAATCGGAGGTCTCTTTTGCCCAATTAAAGGCAATGCTCGCGCAGTTGCCATTATTGACCAAACCAAAAGCGGGAGAAAAATTGTACGTATTGTTAGAGTAGGTGACCAACAAGCCAACTTGTGGCTGTGGTCTTTCGTATTTATTATTGTAATAAACGAACCTTTATTCGTATTAATGATAAAACATATTGGCATTCTATATCTTTGTCCCTTTGTCACAAGCATAGATATAGTCCTTACAGTTATTACAAGTACTAGTAATTGATCGTTAGGATCGTGAGATATTTACTTAAGTATTATAACTGTTAAACGTGTTCCTAGTCGAAGGGTTACGCCACTAATGAGGATATCGGCCTTTCCCATTAAGACTAGCACTTAGTGTATGTGTACTGCATCTCATCAGTAAACGGTATTGTGATATCGGCATGCACAAGTGGGTGCTCGTAAGTTGACGAGTTCACTGAACTCCCTCACCCTAGAAATCTCTAAGTGGTTCCCAATAATCGAGTAGAGATATCTATGGTATAGTTGTACACCATTAGTCCTTATGACCTAGACATCACCGTGACTTCACTAGAGGACCAGCTGTATCGTGACCTGTCCCTGAGTTCCACCGAGGACCATCCCAAGGGCCAGTGTTCGTGCAGTCCGAAATCTAGTGGGAGGTCTGTGCATTGTAGTCGGGGATTCGATCGCTAGAATAGTCTTGGATGTCCTGTGTGTTCTGAAAGTTTGTAATCATTCTAAGTCTCTGGCCAGAGCTGACTAAGTGATGATTAGAGAATTCGACTCTCTAAGTCATGCACGAAAGGATTGCAACACTTGGAACGATCGCACCGTCATCGAACATATAAAGAGGTCTCGATGAACCAATGCCTCTAGTTCGATCGGGACATATGAATCGAAGGGACCGTACTGTACGTTAACTATATCTGAAGGTTCTTGCAGGCACTTCATTTGTATCTAGGGAATCATGACGCGTAGTTGCTAGACGCCAATCTTGATTCGTTGGGTGATTGAGATGAAACGAGCTTCATCTTAATCGTAACTCGAAGGGGACGAGTTTTGACCACAAAGGGTTGTGGGCCCACGGCTAGCTTACACCTGAACCATCGAGGGTCACACTGCTCGTGCACATGAGATCTTTGAATAAACGGTCAGAGATAAAATAGTTTATCTTTGCATAATTGGAAGTCAATATGATTGAGTCCAACATTCGTAATTTGGAATTATGAATGAGAATAAGAAAAGGAAAAGAATAAGCGAACGCGTTAGTGAACTTTCTAAATCGGGAAGTTTCCAAATTTAGAAAGTCCACTGACCTAGGGTTTCCACTTTTGGAAAGTTGGAAAATAAGAGATGGCACTCGTAATGACGAGAAAATTAAAGTGACTCGGAAATTGTAATCGTTACAATTTTTCGATCATTGAATTGAGAGATACGAGCGATTAAAGAAACTAACGAGCTTAAGCTGTTGGGCCCAGTCCAACTTAAGCCCGCTAGGGTTTCATGCTAGGGGCTATAAATACATGATTTATAACCCTAGCACACACACACAAAACCCTAACCCTAATCGGCCACCCTCTCTCTCTCGCCCTCTCTTCCGCGCGGCCACCACCGCACCGCCGTCGCCGCTCCGTCGCCGGAAACGGCCGTTCCTAGGCCGGTCTTTGTTCGGTATTCTTTCTCCTTTATTTTCTTTCCGTTTTATTCTAACTACTTCGTGTCTAGTGCCACGATTTAGTAGATCGAAGTATACGAGGTGAAATCCGAGAGGAGGAAGACAGTAGATCGAAGAATCGAGGAGCAACGCACGAGCCGAAGCTGCACGCTGCCCCACGCGCCGCCCCGGAACACTGCGCGTGCTCTACACGCGCCGCCGTGAGCTGCCACACCGCCGCTGCTGCTGCTTCATCGCTGCCCCGATTCTACGGATTGGTTTCCGTAGTAATCACGACGTATCGCTCGCTCCTACCTCACGCGTCAATAGGTAAATACTCGAAACCCTAGTTTCGATTTAGGGTTTAATTTAAACTATGATTTC